TTTCTGATGCATAAAAGTATTTTTAATCTTAAAATGAATATTACTTTGCATGCTAGATAGGAAACAGGAGAAAAACATTGCTTTACAAGCCTTAAGACTTAATAAAATTTTTTTATATTTTATGTTTGAAAGCATTGTAATGTTACTGATAATCTGCCAAATTTCGTTAACATTTGAGTACTAATTTAAAAGTTATAGCATGAAAACTATAATAAGCACAAAATGGTTACGAGGTCAGTCTTAGGGACAGAGCCCGTGCTGAAAGAGTTAAATTTTTGAAAATATAACAAAGAGTAAAACTGTTATCATCATTCAAATTAGCACATTCCAATCATGTGAACAATATCTTAATTTTATAGAATATAACAATGTATTGTTAATGACCTCTAGCAGGTGACACACACATGGCTATGGTGTTTAATTATGAAACAATGATGTAGTGGAGAACTGGTTGGTAAGGTGTGTCACAGATGTTAGGCCAGTACATCGTGCAACTCTGCTTAACTTTCCAAGAGAAACGATACTGATTGTAGATTTATAGTTAATTGTTTTCTGTACCATGTCTGATTGTTGTTACCTTTGATACGTATTAGTTTTTGCAGGTACAGACATGTTATTGAAGTCTGTTTAATGTCACAATATTTTTTATAGTGAAATATATTTATGTATTTATAGCAAACAAATCAATTGAAATTTAAAATGCAAATAAAAAATAAATCATTAAAAGAATTTAGCACACTGGAAGCTTTATTCCAATAAATTCTTTGAATGTAATAATGATGCATGTTTCAGGTTTTGGCATTATTTTACAATTCTAAAAGTATACCAGTTGTAATACCACTTAAAAAGAATTAAAAGGTGTACATTCTGTAGTGTTTCTAGTTAAATTATGTATTTTAGCTTTAAATAAGACTTGTTTGTTTGATGAAGTTCTCACTTTTGCTCATCTCAGACATGATGAGTTGATGCAGTGATGTAGCTAGTTGATTGTTCAGCTTAGGTTGTAGGTTACGAATTAGTAGTGCTTTCTCTTTTCTTAGCGTCCATTCATCTTTCAATGAGTCTATTATTTTGAAGTGTTCACTGTTTGTTTTTTTACTACAGTCTTTGCTTAGGTGGTTGTAAATTCCAGAGTTATTGAAAGGGCTGTTATGCACATGCTCCTTGATTCTGGTAGGTAAGGTTCGAGTCATTGACCCAATATCGACTTGCCTGCAGCAAGGACACACATTTGTATACTACCAGCAATTTTTTTGAAGGAGGTATTTTTTCTTTAAACAGGAAAAATTGCATATTCGTTTGTTTGGTTTGAAGATTAGTCTTAGGCTGACTTGGGGATAAGTTGATTGCAGAATGCTTTTGATTTCACTTTTAAGTTTGATGCTGTGGGAACCAGTGAAAGGTAACACCAAGGTGAAATGATATTTAGGAACACTGAGGTCAGGAATTTTGGAATGGTAAACCTTATTGATATATTCAAAAATACTTTTTTTTGATGAGTGCTAGAGGGAAGGAATTTTTGATCAAATATTTTTTGATATTGATAAGTTCTGCTTGATGAAGTAATGAAATTAAGTAGTGATTTAGTATTTCCTGATAACATGAAATAAAACAACTTCAAATTATGTTATTTAAAACAAAGGGGTTAAATGATGACATTGCTACTTCTGTTGTAGGTATTGTAGAGTTTTTAGTGAGTTTGAAGGATATTATAATACAGCATAGTATTACATCACTCTTACAAAGGCTTTAACAGATGAAGAGCAGTGACCCATTAAATGTATGCATTATATGAAAATACATATATAACATTTACAAAATATGTCAAAAGGTAAGAAACATTTAGATAATAAATACAGGTTAATATTATTTGGACAGAACACTCAATCATTTAGAAGTTCATTAGTAATTTTTCTAATTCCAACTCTCACATGCAATCAGAGGGGAACCTAGTCACAAAATTTGGGCTTATACATGGTTATTTACAGTACTGAAGGCTTCTTCTGAAAAATGTCATTATAATGTATAACTTGTGATATTTGTTGGATTCTTACATATATTTGTATATTAATTTATTTTCAGTGTTAAAGGAGGTAGTTTAACATTTTATAAGGCTAGATTCAAGCAGGATCTGTTGCCAGATTTCATTTATATGAACTGTGATTATAGATATTAATATTCTTTTGTGTAAAATATAATATCTTAGATCAAGTCAGCAAACAAATTTTACAGTTGTTTATTATCCTCATGAGTGAATACACCAATAACTGGAATTTAATTTTTTTTTAGTAAATTGCTTTTGAGGCAGTTCTGATTGTAGAAGATAACACATACACACATATTTCCTATCAGATATTTCTTTGGTTTTGTAACTTACACTTATTAGAACAATTCAAATTAGATGAATGTACATAAGATCGTTATAAAAAATTAACCTAATAATATCTTCCATAGATGGCTTCAGAAAATTCAGCAATACAGAATTCAGTGGTCAAAAAAGTGAGAGACATGAAGTTGAGTTTTATCATCAGTATTTTGTAAGAGGTCAAGAGGGTTTTCTGGAGTCTATAAAGAGAAAAGTAAGACAATGATGAGTGTACTGTGTATATTGATTTTCTTTTACAAAATAGATTAGTTAACATTCTCATGTAATGAGAAACACTGTTTTACACTGTATATGTGTTATATTATTGTTAAGAGTTTGAGTTCAATTTAGTTGAGTTTCTTTTTTTTCATTTTTATATGGTGTTGTATAATTTACTGACCATGTAACCACCATGTAACTGGGAAACTATATTTACTATAACCCTGAATGTACTAAGTGTATCTTCAAGCTTTTAGTAAACATTACAGGTTTGTTTTATACCAAAAATCTGAGATTTTAATAAAGTACTTCTAATAAAGAGTTTTCTGTAAATTGCCAAAGCTTTTACTGGATCATTCTGAATGCAAGGTCATTTTCTTGCTAAGAATGAAAATACCTTTTTTTTTTCATTGTAAAGTTTTCATATTTCATTTGCATAATATCTAGAACCTCCAAATTGAATATTGAAAGTTTTTTGATAAAACTATATTTTATCTTTTATATTCTCTATCCTAACTTTATAAAATAAAATGAACAGTATCTTTTTTTCCTTCTTTGAATGGATCATTTTGTTAGATTAATGGTCTTGTATATCTTTATAGCTTCAGAGCATACAAAATACACCAGACACTAGAATATGATGTCTTAAAACTACTATAGTTTAACTGGCTTTAACTGAGCTATAAACAGGTTAAAAAAATTAATAGCTATTTGGAGCTTAACAGTAAGGATCACACATAAGCCATCTGAGGTGAACTGTTTTCATCTGTCTGTGAAAACAAAGTAACTAATAAGGTTTTACTTGACCAATATCTATTTAGCTATGTTGCACTCTGTTGGTTTTCTGATGACAGTAGACAGCATGTTTAATGTAAAACTGGATCCTACATGCACACACTCATCTATATTAAGTATCCCTAATGTACTCTCACTTTTGACTGTTAGTATTCACTAATGCTTTCACTGTCTTTCCTTAGGGACATTCTTTCAGTTACAAATTTAGTATTTGTAAGGTTATGATCTACAAAGTTTCACCACTTACATGCTACTTTTCTCATCGTAATACACCTACAGCCTGAAATAATCCCAAGAAAATGTTTAGAAAACTGTATATTATTAATATTTCAATTTGTATGATTAAAAGTATTAATATACAGTCAAATAAAACAGCAGGTGCACAAAGTACATATTTGTTAAAGGTATCTATGAATTCCACTTACTTCTTATAATTTCACCTCGTACAAAATTTTGATTTGACACAATTAAAATATCTTGCACTACACTTACAGGTAAAACTGTGTTGTTTTTTAGACATAGTGTGAGGTCTCTGTTACTTTTATCCTTCCATGAAAATTCATCACCTGCCAAATATTCTCATGTCAATATTAAAAATTATTCTACCAGTGTTAATGAAAACATGTACACTGTATCTTCAAATAATACCTTGCAGATCAGTAGTCACAGGTAACTTCATATCATGAAGTATTAACATCCAGAATAAATCCTTTGTGTTGAAATCCACATGTGGTGTGATAATTGTGTTTACTATGTAATTGATTCATTAATGTTATAAAATACTCAAAAAGGATTGTGTAACATTCCTGTAAATGCATGAGACTACACTCATGCTAATTTAGACATGTATATTGCTATGTTCATTTATCTCCATTATTCATCATCACATACACTCTTTGCTTTCAACAGATTGCCTCTGGTTCCCACTCAAATTACATTGTAATAGCCTTTGGTTACTTTCCAAAGCTACTGTAAGTAGCTTTTGTTCAGTAAAGTACTGCCATTTATAAGCCATCAAACTTGAGTGTTTCCTTTCAGGTAACATGAAATAAATAACTGCTGATAGAAATTGGATACAATTTCTCATAAGTCAGGATTAACTGCTACTTCTGTTCCTATAGTACACAACAGTATACACTTAGATAGAACAAAACTTTCACTGCACATAGAATAGTTCTTATTCATTTCTTTAGGGAAACTGGCAACAAAGGTGTGGTATTTTATTGATGGAGCTTTCATTATTTTACTAGAGCAGTTGAGTGATTCTCATAAGACATTGAGCCTTTGAAAAATTGATCAGTGGCTTAAAAAGTAAGGGTCACAAAACCCTTTCAATAGTTTTTGAGCTTCTAGCTATCATCTTCAACTGTGCAAACTGTTGATGCACTTGTTTTTGTATCTACTTGCACCAATCATCTGAACTGGCACGTTGAACAATACCTGATGACTTTTGAAGCAGGAATTGCCACTTCCTTTCAACCATCAGGTGCTCACACATGATAGTCATCCTAGCTCTGGATAAACAAGTTGTTGTCACAAAATGTAATCTATATATTTGGCTGGTCAACACTACCTGATAGCTCAGAAATCAAGATATACTACATCCTTTTAAACCATTATATACTAGAGAGAATGACTGTCTTGGCTGTACAAGTGGCAAATGCACTATACAGTACTTGAACGTTATCTCATATTAACATTCAGAAGCCTAGAAAACAAAGATGTCTGGTGGTTAGAGTGCATTATAAAGTGACTATCAATCCCACTATTCATTGGTAAAAGAGTCGCTCAAGAGTTGGTGGTTGGTAGTGTTGACTAGCTGCCTTTCCTTAGAGATGGCTAGCAGAGATAGCCCTCAAGTAGCTTTGGGAGAAATGCATTCCAAACCCAGAAAGCAAGGCTTGTGATACCTTTTCTGTCAGTGATATATCAATTACCTGACTGTTTTCAGTTATCTTTGGGTTCAATCCCAAGCATATTAGTTAGGAGGCTGTCATTGGTAATGCTATTAATCTTTGAAGTTGAATCTTTCCTTTAGATCTAGTGCTTCCAAATCTGAGTCATTCTGAATAGCCAAAAAAGTAGTATTTGCTCTTTATTCTTCATCCTGTTGGTTAGGGTGTGATAAGATTACCTCCTCTTCTTACTCTTGATAAAGCCAGTTCACCAGAGGTTTATCAATCGCATATAGAGACTTAAGCACTCCTTTGACCGCTGTAACTCGTATCTTAATAGACCAACTCATTGGATCGTAAGATGAGGTCATGTTCAGCTAGAGCCAAAAGTTTTCCATACCATTGGCACATACCAAAGCCAAGCCTAGGCTCCACTTTGGTACATCCATTCTTACAGTATTCTAGCTGTTGATGTGCAAACTTCTGTGGATAAACTTGCACAGTCCTTAATCATTTTATATATTCATATGGACATTGTGATGCATCCATTCTAGGTGGAGGACCTAGTACATTACATGCAGAGGAAGCAGAACTTCTTGACTGAGCATTAGCATATTTCAGCAAACAGCTTGTTCATTTCTGTTCTGTAGGGTGATATGATATTCCATTATGATGTAAGGGAAGTGTTCCTCCTGGTAGGATTGGGGCCAGATTAACAAACTTAAAAAGCATGCACTTGACAATTTGTATCACCCTTTCCACTAAACCATGAAGATGGTGGAGATAAAGTGAATTGTGTATCTTTACCATGACTACGCTTTGGCTTTTGAACTTAATTCCTTGATCTAAATGGATCTCTTCAGTTTTTGTGAACTGGGCTACCCAATGCTACACCAGTACATCAGCCACATATTTTACAAATATATTGATCAGTGGATAAACCTGGCTCAATTTGTGAAGTAGTTGAACATGAGTATACAGAGGTAGCCTCTTTCTGTATCCATGAGTAGACCAACAGTGTCTAGGGCTATTTACTGTCTGCAGACAAGAAAGAACAATGCTTTGCTGGAGTTATTATGTTTAAGTTTATTTTTTTCTTTGGGTGACACTAACTGTACAGTGTTCATTCGAATGATAAAAGTACTGATTCAAATATTACAAGAACAAATGTTAGTACTTGTATGTGTAACACCTTTGTGACCTCCAGTCTTTGTATTATATAAAGTCTCTAGATTCTTTTGCCTCAAGTGTGCATTACTTTGCTGCATGGCAGTGATCACCCACACTAGATCTGGAGTCTTCACTTGCTCTTAATGGAGCTTTCAAAGAGATAATCATGGCATCCATCTAATAGTGAAATCCCCTGCAACATAACTTGTCATTATTGCAGAAATTATCTTAACTCCCATATGGTGTCCAGGATCTGGACAGTCAATGAGTGTACACAGTCTGACTGTCTGGCAAGACAATTCATTTGTGTTTTTATGTTGCAGGCCTGGGAGATAATGTATGATTAAATCAACACCTGCAACACTGTGTTCCAGCATGTTGTCATTTGTTCAGTGTTTTTAAAGTTCATCAACCATTTCAACAATGCATGGGACACTCGGTGAACTTTTTACCATATAAATAGTGCTGGATAAGTTTTACAATGACAACAACTGCCAGTAGTTCTTTCTTTATATTACATTATCTGTATTCATGAGCTGTAAGTTTACAACTAGCATACATATTTACTCTATCCTGCAACTGTTATAACACTGCTCTGATTCCTCTGTCCCTGACATTGGTGTCTAGCAGGAATTCACAATCTTGTCATGGACATGCCAACATTGAGGCTTCTACTAAAGCACTGGAATCTTTGCTCACATTTCTCAGTAAAATGAGATATTGGAGATATACAGCAATAAAACCATAAAATTCAAGAAAACAGATGATAAAAATTTAACAGTTGGAATTCTAGAAAGACACAAAAATCAAAAATAATTTTACACTCATATTGATTCAGTAAAGGCTTGGAGAATTCACAGACAAATCTGTAGTGCAAATACTTTATCAAAAATTTGACATGTTGTGTGCAATATACTTGTAAGATTAACTAAAAGCTTGTAAACGTTTGTGAATATATATGAAGTTTTTTGGTTTTCAAATATAGGGATATCTATATTGTTGAACTATATTGGTTAAGCAATGAAAGGTATGTTTCTATCAAAGAAAATCAAACTATTCCAAGATCAGCTACTAGTTGCACACTAAAAAAGTGGTGAATGAAGTTAAACAGCTTTTCACCAGAAGTAACTCAATAATACAGTGGTCTGTAATGCTTAATTAAAGCCCCCTCTAATGACTGTAAACAAAATAATGCACACACATTTGGGTATAGAAAGGAGACACACGAGTTGTGTTGACAAGGTTCTTCCAAAGCATATATCCAAACAGAAAATAAACTGTTGAAAGCTGTACATCTGGCTTGGGACAAATTTGTGGATGATTTGTTATCATTCTGCCAGTGATAGAATATTTTTAGAATGGTGCAAAAGACATTGAAAAATGTTTTCCAAGGAATTTATATTGGTTGCAGCTCTAATGTTAAATATCTGTAAAATCGAGGAAAGTGCAAAGGTGAACTATGAATACTTTCAGGCTAATGTGCTGACACCACTGTATTGTGTAGAAATACCATTTTTGTTCAGACTTTAACCCTCTTGCAACAGGTTCAGTTGATTTCATGGCCATTATAGTTTCCGTACTTTAACTTCTAATGTTTTGTGTATCTTTGCAAAATTTTGCAACCTTTCGGAGTAAACATTAAAGAGTCTTTTGTAGACAAAAAATCTAAATTTTAAATGAAGTATTTTCCCCAAAAATTTCTCCTTGAATGCATGGAGTCAAAGTATGACTGCTTAGAGTACAAAGTGATTTCCATGTTAATATTAAAAATACTTCTCTTCATATGAAAATTGTCAATTTCATTTGTGTAATTTCTAAAATCTCTTAAATAAATTTCCAACTTTTTTTTTCCAGGAAAACTATATTTTATCTGTTACTTTCTCCACTTTATCTGAGATTCGCCAGTTTTACCAACATTCTAACCACCATAGAAAACAAAAGAAACAGAGATAAATAAATCTGAATTACACTTTTTTTCTTGCTAGAATGACTTCAAATCCTAATGTGAAATGACAGTTGTTCATAAGTAGCTTTAACATGAAATATTCATAATTCTTATTAAAAAATGGCAATATTAGGCTGAAAAAAATAAAAAATATTATGATAATTTTATTATTATTATTACTTAAATTACATAGTGTGCACCAATGGTGGCATGACAGCCAAAGTTTAAATGGGTAAAGCAGGACGTTGTGTATCATATGGCCCGGCATGGCCAAGTGGTTAAGGTGCTCTACTCGCCATCTGAGGGTCGTGGGTTTGAATCCTTGTCACAGCAAATATGCTCGCGCTTTCAGCCGTGGGGGCATTATAATGTGACGGTCAATCCCACTATTCGTTGGCAAAAGAGTTGACAGTGGGTGGTGATGACTAGCTGCCTTCCCTTTAGTCTTACACTGCTAAGTTAGGGACAGCTAGTGCAGATAGCCCTCGTGTAGCTTTGTGCAAAATTCAAAACAAATTGAATTTAATGACTACCTTTGAACTAAATTTTTTATGTTGTTAATCAGTTATTTGGTTTTATAATTTGACTTATTTTTCTTGTGCAGATGCCATCAGGAAAGTCCCCTGAAGAAAAGCATATCCAACATGAACTCGTACAGGAGGTGCTCGGTGAAGTAAAAGCCATTCAAAATAAACAAGAAAATGTTAATTCCTTGATTACCAGCCTGAAATGTCAAAATGAAATGTTATGGAAAGAGATAGCCATACAGAAGCAAAAACACTTAAAGTTGCAGTTAATAGTTGAGAAGGTGAGCTAATTTATCCAATTAAGTAAATTAAGCAGATTTCATACCAAGCTCTACCCTTCATAAAAGCCCGACAGATCCTGTGAAAGTCTGCAGGTAAAAGTGAGCTCTCAGTGTGAAATGGGCTTTCTTTTTGAAGCTCTTGTAGTGCGCTTTACAGGTCTTACCTTAAAAGTTTTGTAAGTTATTGAAAGGAGACTGCTGCACTTCTCTGTCTCTTTTCTCTCCATAATGTGGAAAACATGCACACATTTGCTAAAATAAGTAAAATTTCTATGAAGATTTTCAGTAGTGTACATTCTCCAAGAAAATTGTTGTTAGAGAGAGAAAGTGGATTGGAAGTGAAGAGGTGTAGCAGTCAAGTCGAGAAACTTGACAGAAATGTCAAAGCACTTGTGTCACTTCTTGTTCAGAGCAGCGAATTTCACAGTAGAGATGTGGTCAAGAACTATACTGTCTGAACTTGGTACACTTAATGCATTAGATTTAATAATAATATTGAATTTTGCTTCTATGGAAAGCTATATTCCACATCAAGAAGTAAGCTATTTCCTAAAAAATATTTTAGTTGTAAAATACTTCTCTAATTCAGGCTTAAATTCTTATTGTAACCCTAATATAAATTGGAAGTTAAATGATGTGAATCAGAAAAGAGTGGGAAACTTAAACAGCAGAAATGTCTTTGCTCTCTGCATTGTAGCTGCATATTTTATTACTGTACATTTTGGTTACTACAGGAAATAAGCCAAAATGCTGAAAATTTCATTTACAATCTTTGACTTGTAGAATTTTGTTGTACTGTGAGGTTTTGTTCAAACTCAACTATTTACAATAGGTATTCCAGTAACAATATAAGGGTTATTATACAATTTTTTTTATTTTTAAATGTTGGGAAAGTTTAGTATTAATTTGGTTTGCTCTTGGACTACTAAGTTAGCATGCCAAGTTTGGTCTGGATTGGTCAACTCATTTAGCAGACAGATAGAAAGTTTTCCTTGATATTGGATAGTGTCCCCCGATGGGACAGCAGTTAGTCTACGAACTTACAATGCTGTGGTTTGATTCCCTGCAGAGGACACAGCAGATAGCCTAATGTGGCTTTACTTTTGGAGGTGAGTATCCGGGAGTAGGACTGGCATCCTAGTCCGGACACCGGGTGAGCATGTTTTGGTGTGATGGGGATTCGAACCCACGACCTGCAGATTGCGAGTCGAGTGCCCTAACCACCTGGCCATGCCAGGCCTATTGAATAGTTACTGCACTAGTATGGCTTAATATGTATAGTGCATATGTGGAGAATCTCTGTACCCCAATTTTTATCCTCAGCTCTGCTTACCAGACCTAGACAACAGTAAATTGTTTAAATAGGTGATAAATCAATCAAATGTCAATTTATAAAATAGCATAAATGGTTTCATTAAAATATTCTTCAGTACACTACTTGTATATATATATCAGTACAGAAGTCAAATGTATAAAGCTGAATTCATAACTTTAGCTTTCAGCAACAGAATCTACCAGAAATAGATAGGCCACTTGTGAAAATGTATGTGAATAATAAAAATTGTCAAATTAAAAAAAATTCCGGTTTTTATGACAGTGCTTCACTTAGCACATAGCATTTTAATGATATTATGAGATGGGACGCCGAATGAAATGTTGTTGATGTTGGATAAGTAGCTATTTAAAGATTAACATAATTTTTGAAATTTTTTTGTCAACTAGGACAGTTTGATGTTGAAAGTCACAGTCTGTGTGTTTGAGTTCTGGTTTTACATGCTGTTTCTTTAAAAAACCCTGTTTTTTTTTAATCTTACCGATACAGGTCTTCCTATGGTCATGGATCAAAGGCCGTATGATCATGTTTGTTGAATCGCATTCAAAATTTCATTGAACTATGAATGTATGTCAATAGGTTTGGTATCAAATTGTAGATAATAATTCAAATATTGGTATCATACATTAGTTAATTTAAAAGTAGATATAAAAAATACAACACCTAAATATCAATTTTTGTGTGTCATGTGGTATCTTGAATGCAGCATTGGTTCAAGTTAGATATTTGTGATGTCCAAATACAAAGTCTATAGTTTCTTATGAATTAGATACTCAAGTTACTGATATTGGCAAGCTAGAATATAAGATTGAAACCTCCTATCTTTTCTATTTTCTATATTTATTGAATAAACCAAGGCGGCTCTGCCCACCTCTTCACTTTTTGAAAATAATTGCTCACGTATGCCTACTTCACCCAATTACCTGTGTATGGCCAATTGAAAGTTAAGAATGTACCCCTAGTGGTTTATCATCCTCTGTGAAGTATTTGCATGGCAAACTCTTTGTTTTCGTGCCAGATTCCAAGCAGTAAGGTAAGACATTAGTGAGCTCGAAAAAACCATGTTTTTTTAGACCCAAATACAGCTTAGTTACTAAGCTTGATAAATTATAGTGCAATTCTGTGGTATTTATATAGTAATTTATGATTTTTTGTTATTTCAAAATGTGTATATAAAAAAAACAATTTGTTTTACATCCTCCACGTGCAATATTTGATAAGGCTTAGCAACTTGCAGCAAATTAGTACAGAGGTCATAACTACAAGAGATAATGTTTTCTATACTTCTTTATTTACTGTTCTATGTTTTAAGAAAAATAAGTGCAGTTTAAGAACTTATTTGTAAATAGTAATAATGTATATATAAATATAATGTATTACAACTGAAATGTCACTGTATTTTACAAAATACTAGTCTACTAAAACACAGCCAAGACAGGTCACTTTGTAAAGGCCAGTTTTATATTCTTGGATATGGTAACATGAGTGCACATGTGCCACATCATTACAACTTCTGTAATGGTAGCCAGGCACGGCTGAAAGGTCAATAAAATAAAAATGATAAATATATATAGATGTATTATGTTATGAGATTTAAACTAAACATTTGTGTTATAATTTATAGTCATTCTACAATAAAATGTAACTTGTATCTATTTTCTAATTTGTTTATGGTGGTTATGAGGTCGGTCAAATCAACCAAACCTGTACAGAGGTACAACAGTGAAAAATAACAGAAAAAATAAGTTTTTTCTCAAAACACATTTGATAATTATCTGGAGGTTATAAAGATTTCACATGTGAAATTTGAAAATTTTCTGATGCATAAAATCAAAATTACTTTGCATGTTGGAGAATTAACATTCAAAAAGAAAAAATCCATGAGAAAAACATCACTTAGAAAATCTTAAGACATAATAGAAAAAAAATATCTGATATTTTGCGTATGAAAGCCTTCTAACGTTTACTGATAATCTGCAAAATTTCGTAAAGATATGCTTAATGTTTTATAAGTTACTAGTTGAGTTACCTGGCGTTGCACGGTGAAAATTTAGATTTGAAATGTATTGATCAGTATTTTTTCAGCTAATTATTTGGTAAGTAGACAAAAGCTGTGATGCGACAAATAACAAATCATTTAATCAGACAAAGCTTTATTTGAAATTAGATTGTGTTTGAGCTTGTCTTGTTCTTTGA